GCCTTCTGTGGTACAGATGCACGTCATGTTAAGTTAAAAAGTGGTTAGTATCAAAGTACTGTAGGTCCCTATAGTTGTTTTGATACTATAAAATGACACAATACTGAAGTTGCTATTTAATAAGAAAAATTTTGTTCATAATAGCTGTTAATACTAAAATAGGATATAATAAAAAAATTATTCTCAATGTGTATATTTTCAAGTTTGCCTGACAGTGTCCTCTTGAGAAATCTTACAATTTGTAAGTAGATTATAGACATTTAAATTTCACTTTTATGTTTGAAAATATTACATTAACATAACAAGCAACAATATATAGTAGTTTTTCACTGAAGCGCTTCTGCAGTTTATATTTAAAGCTTTGCAATAAAACAAAAACTGTACTTCTTAAGTAAAATTATACAACATGTCATGTGTGCTATAATTATATAAAGAATAAATAACTGAAGCATAAAAATCCAGGCCTGTAACCATGGAATATTTTAGCTGTCCTAAATGTGAACTTATTTTTGTATTGAATTTATATTTTAAACCCAAGAACCTTTCATCTTTAAGTAACATGCCTACTCCTCACTTAGAGGCATGGTTATGTTCCAAAGACCAGACTGTTACTTGAAAATTTGCATTATGCAAAAACAGAGGTTGATCACAACCGATCACAAAATAGAGGATGATGACACCATTACATACTTGCCAAACCTGAGGTTCACAGCCCAGTATTTGACACATGCACTAACCGTCACTGTTAGTGTGACTCATCCCACACCTCAGCTTGTTATTACTGCCAGATGCAGCACATCATTAATACACAAGATAATTTGATGTAATGTTTCCCATTGTCATAAATGCCAAATATCAGATGATATGATATAGTCAATAAGTGAGGAAGGGGTGTGAATTGAAAATACCCAAGTTCAGAGTTCTAACATAAAACTCTCGATATACACCTTTAAAAAAAATTTTTTTAAGGTCATTTGGAAATAATATAAAACAAATTGGAGGCAATGGCAGTTATCTTCCTACAAAATACTTCCTTGCTTTGCCATATACTTTTATGTAGTTTCTTGGGCAAATAGTAAAAGGTGAAAGGTTTGACAAATCATAAGCTCATTTAAGTGGTTTCTTTTTTGAAATAAAGATGAGAAACTTAACTAAAGAACTCTCTCTTTTTTGGCTTATTCATTCTCAATATATTTTTTTCCTCTAACATACAGTAGTAGTATAAAAGCACTTCTTGAAATGCTCCCTTTTAATCATCTCGAACAGCACAGAATGAAGAAGATTAATACCGCATCAATCAAAATGAAGGATCAATAGAGATACTAGGGCGAGGACCTAGAATTTGCTACACGAAGGGCTAAACTTGCAAGCGATCGCATGGCGAAAGTGGAGACTTTGTGGCATAGACCAGCTTTTGAAATATAGTTGGAAGCCAATCGAAAAAGCCTGTCTGCACCAAAGGTATTGAAGTGCCCGGGAAGTACCTTCTCCACCAGACCTCCGTCCACTAACTCGATGAGGCGTTCACAGGTTCCAACATAGTCGCTTATCCTGCTGTATGGGAGCCAGTCAATCGGCGATCCGTCATACAGGACATCTCCACTGAAGAGGATCTTTCGGTCCTTGTCATGTAAGCAAATACTGCCCCTGGAATGGCCGGGCATGTGCATAACCGTGAGCTGTCTGTCACCAAGGTTGATCACATCCCCTGTAAATGGAAACAGAGTTTACAGATAAACATATCTCATACTTCACTCACTCAAGGAATAAAAGAATACTAAATGGCTCCAAAATGGTTGGGATGGATGG